CTAGTGGTCTAGAGATTAAGGTGTTCGCCTCTCTTTCGGAACGGATAGCGACGGAAAATTTCCCAGGATAGGCAGTGTCGGTCCGAGGCCCATCTACCCAAATAAAATGCCTAAATTCTGTCGATGGGGGACATAAAACTCCTACATTAGAAGAAGAATAAACTAATTGAAAGAATGGAGAACCTTAAATTTAAAGAAAGCAGGTTGTTTTTCCCTACGTGACAGACAGCCTGAGCTGAGGGAGATATAGATGTCGCGACGTGGAGGAATCAGGTGCTCGTCAATTTCTGGGCATATAGAGCTATTGATATCATCTCAAAGCTCATTCATTTGCCTTGCTTAGAGTGAAAAAAATATCCTTCTAGCTTGGATAGAGGTCGAGACATTTGCGATTGAGGAAGGCTGGGTAGCCTTGTTTCAGTGGTTAAATTAATGAGAAAATGGCCGCCAAAGTTTGCTAACTTCACTAGCTTAAGATTCCTTGAAAACTGAAAATTACACTGTGCCCACAAGGTTTTTAAGTAAAATTTGCATGGAAATATGTTTTCATAGGAACATAAAGGTGTTCGGCCAAAAAACAAAATTTCGATAAAAATTGCCAAACTGGTGGGAAAATGACTTTTTCTACAATTTCATTATTTCGACGAGCGCCTGATTTCACCACGCTGTCTCACATTATTAGCATCCACGCAGACAGACGGGGACACCCGATACATAACTTCAGTGTACGAGTGACGTCGGTGGTCTAGTGGTTAGGCTACCGGACTCGTTATCGTGCGATTGCGGGTTCGGGGGTTCGAGCCTCAGCTCGGTCCGACGTAGTGTCCTTGGGAAAGGCACTTTACACGAATAATTATATTATTTTCCAGTTTGGCTCGGTCCTTTCGGAGATGGACGTTAAACTCCGAGGTCCCGCCTGTCAAATAATGTAATAGTGTTGGTGAGGCCGTTAAACTTATACCGGAGATGACAAGAGAGAGATATTTCACTCGTCAGCTGGCCACTATTCGCACCATGTTTTTTTTGGGGTTTTTTGGGGTCTCCTCCAATACATGTACTATTTCACCATTTTTCACCCCAGCGTGCGGGGAATCGAACTAGCGTCTGTGGCGTGCAAGGGGAAATTAATGTCCAACCATCACCGCACGTGTATCGCTCGACCAGCATGCACGTACAAAGGGAGAAGTTCTTCTTCAGAACTATAAAAAGAAAAAACAAAACAAAACAAAACAAAAAACAATGGAAAAAAAAACAACCAACATTAAAGATAAAGGTAAAAAGAAAGCCAGCATTTTACAAACACAAAAAAAAATTAATGGCTTAGCTCCAAGGAAAAAAAAGTTGGCTTTTCACAACAGCAAAACCGTCAGAACTTCTTCCCTTGTTTGTCCCTACCGCTGTCCGAACCTTTTTTTTTGACTGGCAAATGGAAAAAGGAACACGTTGTATTGTGTTATATATGAAGCGTGCTGACAAAATGAGATACTTTATGCAATCCACAAACGGTAATATTGGCCAAAAGTCGACACTATAGATTCCTTTTCGTAAATTTTCTATTGATTCCACATTCTTTTTGTATAACGTACCTTTTATTATTCCATACCTATGAATTGTAAAGACTTCACCTAGTAGCGTGATGTATCTATTTCCATAAGGCTTGGATCCGAGAAGTAACTCATTTTGTCAGCACGCTTCAAATATCATTATTATTTATACGATGAACAGCATTATTCTAAAACCGCGGTAAAATGGTTAAGTGTAACTCGTTACGATAGTAACAGTCTGGTGGTACAGACATGAACGTAAAACGCAACGGTAGATCTGCATAATTATTATGTTTATTAGAGAGAACAAGGGATGTGCTTAATATTCATTACCGCATGGAGCGTCAGATGGATGGAAACTCGTTTGCACGCAATTAATTCTACTCACTAGGCTACTAATCTAGGGAGAAACATGACGGTACATAATATTTTACATTCCTATCGACATAAAACTTTCGATCACTCGTGACAAAGGCTTTTTTTTTTAAACGCTGCCTAGTGTCAGGGATGGGTAGGATTAAATTATAGACTGTCCTGCATCGGAATCGAACTCGTGTCTTTGTGTTCATCCACCCCCCCCTCCC